GCGTCCCCGAGTAGCCCAGGGGGCACTCGCTCACGCACTTCCTGCCGGAGCCAGAGCAGAGGGCACCTCCTCCCTCAGCCACGCCCGCGCTCTCCACCGCAGCCCACGTCCCACGGCCACGGCCCGGCCCGGGAAGGGCCCGAGCGGCAGGGACCTCAGCTGCCCCCCCAAACCCCCAGCCCCCCAGGAAACAAAGGCCCCGGGGGGAAGGTTAAACCGTTCATGCCCGTTGTCCTTTTTATTCTTCTAAATAATAGATTTTTATTGATTTCAGAGAGGAAGGGAGAGGGAGAGAGAGAGAGAAACCTCCATGAGGAGAGAGAATCATGGATCGGCTGCCTCCTGCACGCCCCCTACTGGGTGGGGATGGAGCCTGCAACCCGGGCATGTGCCCTGAGCGGGAATCGAACCGGGACCTCCCGGTTCATAGGTCGATGCTCAACCACTGAGCCACACTGTCCAGGCATCACCAGGATTCTTTCTAAACTGGTGGCCTGGTGCACAAAATTCGTGCACTCAGAGGAGGGGGTGTCCTCCAGCCTGGCCTGTGCCCTGTCACAGTGGGGGAGCCCCTCGATCCATCGCCCCAAAGAGGTAGGGCGGAGGCCTGTGGACCCCCAGCACAGGTGCGTGGAGAAGCCGCCGTGCGCCGCCCCCGTCCCAGATGCTGGAAGTCCCCGCCCACCTGCGCCTGCAGCACACGCAGCCTGCTGATTGGTCGTTATGCGTGAGGGCGTCCCGACCAATTTGCATATTACCCTATTATTAGTATAGATTTTTTTTTTCCTTATACATTTTCTTTTTCACTCGAATTTTAAAGTAGGGTGCCGGTGTGTGTGTGTGTGTGGAGGGGCTGAGAACACAGCTCAAAACAGACCCCCTTTGCCCTGACCGGTGTGCTCAGTGGTTAGAGCGTCGGTCCAAGCACCGAAGGGCCTCAGGTTTGATTCCCGGTCCCGGTCGGGGCGCATTTGGGAGGCAACCAATCGATGTGTCTCTCTCTCCCCCTTTCCCTCCCACTCGCTCTAAAAATCAATGGAAAAATACCCTCAGGGGAGGATGAACAGAACACAGCAAAGCCCGTTCCCGGGGGTGGGGCGTGGGTTCCCCACGCGGATGGGCCCCCGCCCTTACCTGCCGGTCTTGGCGTTGCCCAGGCTGAAGTGCACGCAGCTGAGGCACTGATCGGCCCTGGGGCCGTCGCAGCCCTTGTCCCCACACTCCGGGTGGCACAGGCCTGCAAGAGACACGCCTGCCTTTCACCCACGCACCCCCGGCCCCGTCCGCGCCGTCCCCCAGGAGCGCGGTGGGCCTGCGGGGCTGGCTGTGAGGGGCAGAAAGAGAACGTTGGGGACCAGCTGTAACTGTAAGGAACGTGAATCCCGCTCTGTGACCGTGGCTGTGCTGTTCTGATTAAAAAGGCACCTTCTGACCTGGCTGGGAGCTGCACGCGGCCCTGGGAGCTCCCCTGGAAACGCAGCCCGTCCTCCCCACTGGGAGCTGCCTGTGATCATGGAAGGATGAACAGCTTTACTGCAGAAACCAGAGCGCCAGCCCTCTGAGGACCCCCAGCCTTTGCACACCCACAGGCCTTTGCACACCCACAGGCCTTTGAGGACCCCCAGCCTTTGCACACCCACAGCCCTTTGAGGACCCCCAGCCTTTGCACACCCACAGGCCTTTGAAGACCCCCAGCCCTTGCACACCCACAGGCCTTTGAGGACCCCCAGCCTTTGCACACCCACAGCCCTTTGAGGACCCCCAGCCTTTGCACACCCACAGGCCTTTGAAGACCCCCAGCCTTTGCACACCCACAGGCCTTTGCGGACCCCCAGCCTTTGCACACCCACAGGTCTTTGAGGACCCCCAGCCTTTGCACACCCACAGGCCTTTGCAGACCCCCAGCCTTTGCACACCCACAGGCCTTTGAAGACCCCCAGCCCTTGCACACCCACAGGCCTTTGAGGACCCCCAGCCCTTGCACACCCACAGGCCTTTGAGGACCCCCAGCCTTTGCACACCCACAGGCCTTTGCAGAGCCCCAGCCTTTGCATACCCACAGGCCTTTGCAGACCCCCAGCCCTTGCACACCCACAGGCCTTTGCAAATCTCCAGCCCGCTCACCTGTAAGCTGCCCATTTGGCTTCACCCTTTGGCCGACTTCCCATGTAATCTCTGTCCTTCCACCCACGATCAGCAGCTGGCTTATGGGGGGAGGGGGGGCTGAGCAGATGTTTGTGGGTGCCCTGCGGCTCCCCCACGCTGCTGGCAGGATCGGAATCAACGCTCACGTAGGATTCCACCCTGTCTCTGCTGAACGGGCTCAGGGAGTGACCGGCAGCCCGGACCCTGTGGTTGTCCGGCTACAAGCGGATCCACCTCACCCTCCCTCAGGCTGGCGGGGGCATGTCCCCACGTGGCCTCTCCCCGGGACCTCGGGCCGCAGCGTGCCCACGCCCACCCTGAGCTGTGCCTCCTGCTCTCGAAGAGGCCGGGGTTTCCCCGTCTGCCCAGGGAGGGCCCGGGCCGTTCTGAGGGCGTTGGCGTCTTCAGGAAGAAAAGGGAAACACGCCTGTGTCAGGTCTGGTTCTGGGAGGCGGTGGGAGCCCGGCCGGCAGCACAGGGACGGAGGGAGGACAAAGGGCCATTCTCCCCGCACAATGGGGCTTTGCTGGCGCACAAAGCCCGCCCCTCCCCTCCCCACGGGGCCTCGGACCGACCGACGCGCAGCTTCATTCTGCTTCCCTCCCCAGGGCTGGATGTTGTTGGCGTTTCCAACGTGTGCACTGGGGGTCCCCTTTTTTAGGGGGCGAACCCCTGTCTAAGGGGTGTTTGTCCCCGGGGATGCTCACAGCACAGGACACAGCCACCCCTCCCCGACCTGCCTCCCTCCCTCCACCCCCACTGACCCTCCCCTAACACCAGGCTATTAGCGATTCGAGGTCCATGCCCATCCGACCTGACTCCTGTCCACTCCAGTCCAGCCCATTCCCGGGGAAATCCTCCGAAACCCAGCTCCTCGCACTGTTTTGGCTGAAAACACACTGAACTTGGCCACCCGGCTGCCCCTTCCCAGCCCGCGGCCCGGACGTGGCCCTGGGGACACCCGGCCTCGCTCGGCGGTGACTTCCCCGGAGCCCAGGACGTCACCAGGCCGGTCTTGCTCGATGAAGTTAACCATGTCCTCAATCATGCGGATGTCCCCCGCCTCCTCCTCCCCCTCTTTTATTTTTTAAAAATATATTGTTAGTGATTTTCAGAGAGGAAGGGAGAGGGAGAGAGAAACATCCGTGATGAGAGAGAATCATGGATTGGCTGCCTCCTGCACGCCCCACACTGGGGATCGAGCCCGAAACCCGGGCCTGTGCCCTGATCGGGAATTGAACCGTGACCTCCTGGTTCATAGGTCGACGCTCAACCACTGAGCCACACCGGCCGGGCCTCTCTCCCTCTTCCTCCTCCAAGCCCCTCCCCTTTGCCCCCCATACCATGAAACCCTCCCTGGCTCTTGTCGCTGCTACGGGTCCACCTGTCCCCCTGGCCCGAGAACTCGGGGCCTTCTGAGCCTCCGAGACACACCCTCACCCCACAGACCCCCACCCCCACCCCCCACCCCCGTTCTGTCCATCTAGACTCGGGCTGCGGACCAGTCTTATATGGGGAGATTCCCGGGCGGTAGAAGGTTAGAGTTGGGAAAACAAAGCGTTCATTTATGAATTATGACTGAATCTGATTTATAAATCACAGGGGGAAACAGCCCATCAGCCCATCCATCATTCATCGGTCCGTGTTAAAGGAAATTTAAAGGGAATCGCCCATCATTTATGCTCGCGATGCACTGGGGGTGGGGAGGCTCCATGGTGTCACCGCCCGGCCCCCCGACCCCCGAAGCGATGACATCACTCCGAGCATCAAGAGTGTCGGGGAGCACCCTCCGTGCCTGGCAGCTGGAGGAGTGAGCGCAGGAAACTATGCCCAACCAGAAACCCGGTTTCTCGCCAATCGCTGTGGGGTGGTTCGGGGGGAAAGGAACCGCTTGCTGCGTAGCCTGCTGATCAGAGGGGGAGGGTCTGAGGCCCTCGCCCTGCGGCTGGGGAGCCGGCTGAGCCGGAGGGGCCGCCTGGCAACGAATGACATAGCGGTGCCTGGCCGGCGTGGCTCCGTGGCTGAGCGTCAACCTGTGAACCAGGAGGTCACGGCTCGATTCCCGCTCAGGGCACAGGCCCGGGTTGCGGGCTCAGTC